TATCAGCTACACTGTTATGTTGATCTTGTCCTGCCCCTACCTGACAGCCTCGTCTTCAAGAATAATCCCCTCGACACTCCATGCTTCACTCTTCCAATTAGGATTGTCAGATTTAGCAAGTAAAAATATAGGATGCCCACTTAAACAGCAATGTTTGGAACATATTTTTTAAAATTTTTCGGTTTTTTTGTTTATCTGAAATTCACATTTGACTGGGTATATTTCTCTTATTTGACAATATTTCCCATATAGCCTTCTCCGAACTTCCCTCATGTTACAAGTCTATGTGATCTTGTTTGTAATTATTTTTCTTTTCAACTGGAATTATTCACCCTGCTTTTTCACATATTGATCTCCATCCACCCTATAGATATGTTACCAATAGAAAGATCAGCTCCTCTTCGATCCTGGGACATGGGCCTTATCTAAAGCCATGTAGTGTGGTGAACTGAAGACTTTCCCTCACTCTTTTTAAAGATACCTTTTATTAAGGAAGTAACTTAATGATGTAAGTCAGGGGGTTAGGGGTGAAAGACAGAAATGCTTGCCACATAATAATACCAAGGTATTAGTTTTCAAAATATAAAGAAAAAACAATATCACTAATAAAAGGGACACAAATTCCTTTTGATATGGCAAGGTGGAGAATGAATCCTTCTAGTGGCAAGGTTTGCTTGATTAGGTACTTATCAGGGGAAAACACAGGAGCCCTCCATATCTTTCCACCTTGCCTACAGAGGGGGTAGAAATCACACCAGCAGATCCCGAGACAAAGCCCGGACAAAGCCCTTCCCCTTCTGTGAAAAGACAGAGACATTCAATGTCTAAGGCTGCTAAAATATGTGAGACACCTGAAGGACCTGAGGAGACTGAGGTTTGATTAAGAAACAGGAACTGCTCCCAGGGAACAGGGAGGGGAGAGGGTACCTGAAGGGGAAAGCGGTGTGAGGGGAAGTACAGAGGAAGAGTTAGGGCCTGGGAGTCCCTCTGAAGGCTTGGGATGAACGTGGGAAAACACTTAATAAAATGGGTATAGAAGAAAAATACCTTAACATAACACAGGCCACATACGACAAACCCTCAGCTAATATCATATTAACGGTGAAAATTGTAGCCCTTTGCTCTATGTTCAGTAACACGGCAGGGCTGTCCCCTATCACCTTTGCTTTTCATTGTCAGGTTTTGGAACTATTTAATCAGCTGAATTAGAATCTGAAGGTAGTTTACAAAAATGACGACTTTGATTTCGAGCATGTAACTGATGTCACATGAGGTGATGATATTACTATAAAAAAAAGTGCTACTTCTGTAGTGTGATTTTCAATTTACTGAAAAGGTTTGTGGCATTGATATCACCCCTGTGATTTTTAAACAATGCCATTTCTTAGTTATTGTGAAAGTAAACATCTACCTAGTTCATGTCTGAATGGTGATAAATTCTAGGCCTGTGGGATTTAACTAATGAAGTGCCATTGAATTCAAGAGACTCAAGCAATGTATGGTTAATTTTGGTTATCAGAAAAATACTTTTAAAATTACATCGTTTTGTAGAAAATTTTACTATTTGTTAAAACTTCAGGAATAGCCAGGCTGCTACTTCTTCATATGCTTTGTGGTTTGAAAAATTATTTTGGTCGCACCAAATTAAAGACTCTCCAATAAGAGCATGATATGCATACCTCACGTTAGTGTGCATGTCATGTAGCTCATTCTATCTGTGTTTTGCTCAACGTCTTTTTCTCCTATTTTCAAATTTTTTAACTTAAGAAAATATAGCTAAGCCTGTTAAATCTGGCTGAAAGGTTAAATTTTTAAAACAAACAAAACACTTACCAGCTGAATGCAACAGGGTCTTCTTAATTTTTTCCGGTTCACTTTTTCACTTTTTCTAATATCTCAAAGAGTTGTCAGCCACATAGACTTAGTAATCGTTTATTTAGCCAATTGGCAGAGTCTGGAACAACACATTTATGTTTCTTTTTATTTAGAAAGTATTTAATTTCAGTGTACTTTTATTTCAAAGTCTGAGATACCAAAATTAAGCAGATGACAATCATTTACTAGTAATATGATTTGTTGAGGTGCTTAAGCTTTCTGAGGCTTAGATTCAAATAAATGGGTATGGTAATTCTTACTCTATAAGCACATTGTGAATAATAAATATGCGAGGTTACTCCCAGTCCCTGGCCCAAGCTATTTTTAATACAACCACTGATGTTGAGTGTATAAGTAGTAAAGTCCAACTCTAACTCCCCAAATAGCTAATCTATCTCAGCATAATTTAAAAATGATTAGGCCTTTATTTTTAATAGCAATGTAATAATTCTTCCTCGATTTTCTCACTGGGTACTTTTAAGGGGGAAATTGAGAGGGAGAGAGGAAGAAAATAAGGAGAAAAATTAGGCAATTCCATACTGAGTTGGAATTCTTCACCTTACCATGGCTTGTTCAGACAAGAGTAGAAAGGCATTCTTTCCACAAGGATCATGAAACCTTAAAACTACAGAGCTCTTTCACTGTATTAATGCGATGACTTAGCTCAGAACAGAATTCCTTGTTTTCCGTAAGACTTATTAGAGCACATCACTGTCATCATTATCATCATCATCACTCTAATTGATTTTATTAATAACTAACATTAATTGAATCTGTATCTAGAAAGTACTTAAACTACTGCAGATGCTGAGCTAAGCATTTTGTAGGTGATATCTAATTCACTCAGCCTACCCCATTTATTATTTATTTTTACCTGGTTTATGAGAACAGAAGTGTTAAGAAACTTGCCCAGGGCCTCATAGTAAGGGATAGAAGCCCAGACCTGCTTGAATAAAGATTCTGTGCTTATAGCCTTTGCATTATAATAGTTTAGAAGCAAATTTCCCCCCATCCCTATGCCATTTCTAGAATGATCAGAAACACTGGTGTGGTTAAGACTTCAGACACTTTGATATGCAGCTGGAGTTGAGAGGCAGAGTGGTGTCAGTACAGTACCCAAGACTAGATTCACTTTAGGAATAAAACCAACCAACAAACAAACCACAGTGTGTAAGTGATTTTTTTAGAATTGCTAGTTCTAGTTCGCTGAGTAAACAATGTTCCTAAGGTGTTAGAAACAGGTTTATTAAACTTAGTATTCCAAAATGGTTTTACAGAACAAGTCAGATAAAGATTCTCTCTTACTAAAAACTGGCATGTGACAAATTGTCGTCTAGCTTAGATCACACAATAAAACACAAAATATTTTATTCTGCACACATCTTATAGGAATAACTACACTTGCCATAAAAAGCAACATTAAGGAATTCTGTGTTTGTGCAGAATTTTGTCTTGACCTCTTTTAAATGAACTGAAGACAAAAACAGAAAACAACTCTTGGAGTACCTCTGTTGCACATTTTTTTTTGTAACTTAAACTTGAGTAAGAATAATAAAGCGTGAAGAAAAAGCCTTTAAAACCACATTTGGTAAACATTTCTTTTATGATACAAGTACTATACTTGTAGCTTGAACATACTTAAATATCCACAGTTTGAAATGTTTAATAGCAGAAATGTTCCTAATAATTTGTCTCTTGAAATTAATTACTGCAGTAGTTTTTGGAGTTCTACAGCTTGTTTAGTTTCCTAATATAGAATTTCGGACTACTTCAAACACTAATGGCTGACAGGTCCTGGGGAAAAATGAGTTTACAGAGGTGCCAACTAGATGTTATTGTAAGGTACTCTTTCTCAGGAACAGTAACATTAGCCAACACGCAAGAATAGACTATTGCACATTCTGTTCCAGCATATAGTGCTCAGCTGCCAAAGATGATCACATGAGAACAGGTTCCTTTGCAGAAAAATGCTTTGAAGCATAAAAGAGTCTTTGAAGAAGAACAGATGCCCAAATGTAACACCCATAGTCATCAGCCATAGCAAAAAAAACAAAAACAAAAACAAAAACAAAAAAACACACAAGACTTTTATACCAAAGAAATATAGTTATACTTTTTTTGCTCTTGAGAGTTATTTTAAAATATGTAAGTTATTTGGAGTCAAGGAAAATCTGTGGCTCCTACCACATACTGAGTTCTGTCAGTGCCCACCTTGAGTTCCATTCTCAAAGACAGTGGGATAGGTTAAAATCTGATGACAAAATCCATTGGATAACATCACATCTTGGATAAGCCTTGTTTTAAATTCTATGATACGAAAGATGACATCCACTAGACTATAAGCTCCATCAAGTGACAGATTTTATTTTAAGCATTTTATTCATCGATGAAGCCCTAACATCTAAGGTGCTTGGAACTTAGTAGATATTTAGTAAATATTTTTGAATGAATTCATAACTAAGTATGCACAGAATATATTAAAATGTAGGTCTCCTTAAGGCAACAGCTTGGTCTTAAAGCCGTGGGCACTGAAATAGGTCCTGAACTTCCTTCACAGAATTTTGCATAAACCAGGGCCTAACCCAAATAGCAAGTTATATGACCCAGAACACTTTACTCCATTCTCTATGTAACTTGCCTACATCATGAGCAATTATATGAAGTGGAAAATGTGAAAAGGCCCAAATAACCCACTTCAGGGAAGAAATAAAATGCTCTCCTCCATCTCTGCCCATCACTGAATACTATACCATCGTTGGAACCAGGAACATCTCACATGCCCATATATAATACTTTATCCGTCATGCCTGGGACATTCTGAAACAAGGCATAAGGCCTTGGTCACTTCTCTTTTTTATTCCCTTGTAACAATATCTGCTGGTCCCCCCACTGCTAGAATTTAACAGAAATTCTATATATTTTGACAAGGATGCAAGAAATAATTTGTTCTTACCCAAGATTTGGGGCAGAGATCTTTACCGTATTTCCCCAAAAATAAAACCAGGTTCTATATTGATTTTTGCTCCAACAGCCTACATTTATTCATTTATTCATTTATTCATGTACAAAAATTTACATTTATTCAGACAGTCATGTCTGGCTGACAATCTTAACTGGGGCTTATGTTTGGGGTAGGGCTTATATTACAAGCATCCTGAAAAATCATGGTAGGGCTTATTTTTGGGGAAACACAGTACTTCTCAGAGCCAGTCCAGTTCAGATGTAATTTCCTTCAGGAGTCTTCCCTGATTCCTTCCAAGTTGGCTTGGTCATCCTCCTCTCTGATGCTATAATACCTTCAGCCTTATTCAGAGCATCAAATTGTATTCAAATGATCAGTGAGTGGCTTTTTCTCCCATTAAATTGTAAGCTTCCTAAGGGACCATGTCTTAATTCTTCTTAGCATTTATCATAGTGGGTAGCACAGTGCCTAGAATACAGAAGGTGCCCAGTGAATGCTTGCTGAGCTCCATGCTTTCCTGCAGTCATCGCCTTGAGTGGCTATATGTGAAAATGGAATTGCTAGAAATGTTCCTCTAATACAACTGAAGGTACATAATTTGATATTCTGTTTCATGGAGGATGTTATTTCTGCTTTAAGAAATAATTGTCCACAGTCTCAGGGTGCACTGGTATATATACATATATTTACATATATATTTCTTTTGTTTTCAAAATAAATTAATTTTATTATATGATAATATTGATAGTTTACATAAACAAGGTCATATATGCAAAACAATTACAAAATACATTTTGAAAAGGTATGAAAATCTTTGAAATTCTCTCTTGACATCCTACCTACCAAATTTCAAGAGACACCATTAACATTCTAGGATCAAAACACAATTCCCCAGCCTGAATTGTCTGCAGAGATTCCATTCATCAACTAACATCAGTTCAGGAAAGAAAAAACATTTACACCTTGTTTTTGTTTTTAAATGCTCAAATAAGTGTTTGTTTCAAGGGCTCAGAGTATAAAAGAAGACTGAGAAAGAAAAAGGGCAAGAAATGAGTCTAGGAAACTTTTGAAAATAAAGCATATACAACATGAATCCATTGTATATAATCCTGTTTCAAAAGATAGCTATTAAGTCAGGAGAAAAAACAGATTTAGAAGATCATCAGTTGTTTGACATAGCGCTCATTGATATTAGAGCTATATCTGTGTTATATAGAAGCGTAGCCTCAGTCTCCCTCCAAACACGATGTGTGATAGAAGGTGATAAACAACTTCGCCTTTTGTCTGAATTCTCCACTTCATTTTGTAGATGGAGCCTACACTGTAAAGTAAAATCTACAGATTCTGGGAAGAAGCTGCCTGGCTGTCAGGCACGCAACCAAAGGGTAGCAATTCACGGACATCCACCATCTGTTTTTGTAAAAGATCCAAGCAGTCAATGTAGAAAAGCTTCCTATTCTATGGATTAGCTAAATGTAGGTTTTGCTTTTTCAGTTTTTAAAGAGTTCTTATTAACGATACCATGGCGTTTAAGGAGCATTTGGTAAGATGGTCCCAAGTAACAGATATATGGTCATGATTTCATTGCAACAGTATGCACCTGAGAGCAATCACAGGTACTACTTATTAGAAGAACAAAAATGAAGATACTGTCACAACCAGTCTCTGCCTGGGCTCTGCCATGCTGTCACTGACCATTACCCTGGGATCAACAGACTCTTTCAGTGCTATTATCGATACTTCAGGGAGCATAAATACTTACCTGGGGCTTCAAAACTGTCAGGCTTTGATTTACTTTCCATATCTTTATTTATTACCCTAGCTAGGGGGCAAATCTGTTTGCTTTACTCGTGGAAGAATTTATTCATGTCACTGAGCATTTATAAAGGAGCAAAGAAATATAAAAGTCATTTCTACAGGAAGCATGGTGATCACAGTAACGTACTTAGAACTCCACATTCTGAGTGTCTGTAGGAAACTGGCCCCAGCATCTCAGAGTCATGGCAAAACACAGGTCGGTAGAAAGTCTTGGGTTATATTATTGAGTTAGATTGTACCAACTCTGATCAACAAAAATGATGGTTAATAGTGTAAACTTTGAACTTGGGTAAATCTTGGTTCCAGTTTCAGATCCACCAATTCCTAATTCTGTAAATCTGGGTTAGATTATTTAACTTCTTTGGGCCTGTTAGCATATATGGGAATTGAGGATCATAATAGATATCGCAAAGGTTCTTGAAAGGATTAAAGGAAATAATATATTTCAAACTCTTAGCACATGGTAAGTGTTCAATAAATGGTAGCTTTATTATTAATTCAATTTCTAAGATCTAAACTCCTTCCTACTTTTCTTTTTTATTTGACTAGTAATCCTGGTGACAAAACTTAAGTGAAAGTTTATTAAAATTTCCCTTCTTAACTGAGTGTTTTTTTCCCAATTACTTATCAATAATAAAATTTATTATTAATTATTATAAAAATAATAGTAAATGACACAAACTGTTATAAACAAAAGGTAAATACATTATTTAAAATCAATTGTGCTGTTTTCCTGAGACATGTTCTGTCCTTTTTCAAATGAGCAAGGCATTTTGTAGCTTGCCACCAGCCTGGTGGTATCTTCATAGACTGTAGGGAAAGAAAAAAAAAAAAAGAGCAAGCTATTTAAAAGAAATGTACTATACAATTATAAACAAAATCTAGAGCCAGCATTTTTATTTTCAATTGCTACGCCCCATTAATTTGCTGGGAGTTTCTGGGAAAGGAGATTCTTTGTGCTGCTCGGAGAGCTATGGAAAGTCACCACCTCTCTCTTGCTGCACGTGAGCAAAGAAGCATGTGGCCCTGACTGCTACGGGCCTCTGCTATGACCAAAGAGGAACTATCCAAGAACAAAGCCACCTCTTCAGACAGTGAGCAGAAAGAGAGGAATAATATTTCCCTCCATGGGAGTCTTTGGTTCAACCAAGTGTGCAGACTACCTTCCCTCTGGACTTACCAGTCCATGTGAACCAAAACACTTCCTTCACTTTATACCAGTTTGGTTGTGTTTGATGCTATTACAGCCAACATGACCCCAGCTGAAGATGCTGGCAATACTGTTTGCCCCATGGAGCCCCTTTTCTGCCCTGCTGTGCCCTCTAGGAGGCTGACTACAGATTGCACCACAAGGGCTCCCATGTCCTCTGAGTTACCTGCTGAAGACCTGAAGGCAAAAGGAATAAAAATGGAGGGTATTTATTCTCCATTTCCTACCTCCCTCCTTGTTTAGGTTCCGGCAGTGGCTATTTTCATCCACAGCTACAGCTTCTACCTGGTAGGCCTGCCGGCAGCCCACCTTTCAATGCCAAAGGAACACTCCCCCAGCCCTCTCAGGCATGAGAAGGGGACAGCCTCCTGCCATTGTTAGACTGGGAGCCACCACCTTCCTCTGGGTTCCCTCAACCCTGCCCCACCTCCCCACTCCCTTCATCAAAATCTCTTTATTGGATTATCCCAAAGGATTATGATTCCTGCTGGGTTCCTAACTGATAGAACATTTAAAGAGCTTAGAACAGCAATTGGCATATGAAAAATGCTCCATAAATAAAGTTATTACTAAAACATTACAATTGTTATTTCCTTTTAATGTGAGATGTCTAAACTAAAATACCTCTTCTTTGTGTCCAAAAATGGGAAGAAAACATATAAAATAATGACCACAACCATGCAAAATTAGAAAGGGTTGATGTGGGTACATTAGAAAAAGTATATAGAAGTCCCCTCTCCCACATGCTGTCTCTGTGATAACACGCAAAAGAAAAATATGAGAAAAGTTGTTATTTGGTTTCAAAGTCTATTTAAAAAGTCTATTTTTAGATGTTTTTAAACATAATCAAACTCCAGTCAATGATTTACTAGAAGCAGTTAAACCCCATTTCACCGGGTAAATGTCCCCTGAATAGTTTCCCATCTACCAAATTTATCACACTCACCGTTAAGCAATGCTAGTTTCTTGAGCATCTTCATTTACAGGAGTTATATCTTTACCCAGATTTGCCATTTCTTCTTTCTTTTTCCTTCGAAGAGGACTTGGAAAATAGTGTAAGAAATTAGCATGAGCCTGTTAGTTTGTGCGAACATAAAATTAATCATCAAGAGAGTCTATGATCTAATTTCTAGACTGTTAGAAATGCATAGGTTCCTTCTTTCCTTAAATATTGGAGGTTCTCTCTTAAACCATCTCTTTATCTAGGCTCCAATGATAGCTGCAACAGGCAATAGTCTGGATAGAGTACAGTTATATGTAAATAGAAATAATATGGTACCTGATTGTTGATGGAGCTTGGTTAGCACAAGAACATTTTTCAAGCCAAGTCATTTTATAAATAGACTGATAATCGTTATTTAGTATATAAACAAGATATAATACAATATGAAAACAGACATAAGAAAACAAAGAGAGACTCTGGTTATGTTAATGAAATGGTCAGGAACAATAAAAAATATGTTAGCTATCTGGACGGCAGTCCAGTTTCTCAAAGTATGATTCAAAATTAATGCAATAAAATAGGCCATTTCCCAGCTCTGCCCAACTGATGCTCTGGCCCAAACCTGGCATTATAAAAACTCCTTTTAGCCATAGAGGAGGTAAAATAAAAACTATCTTTTAATTTTATAGTTAAAAAGAATCAGGTAATCTGGTTTAATCCTCACATTTTGCAGAAAATAAAGTGAAATTTAAAGATATTAAAAAACCTGTCCAAAGTCTCAGAGGTATTCACTGGCAGAGCTGGGACAAACATCAGACTCCCAGGAGTTCCTGTGGTGTTTTTCTCCCGTGAAGGTTGTGGAGAAAGGAATTATGAGACGCCCTCTTCTGGTCTGTACCACAGCCCAGAATCAATTGGAACAGTTTAGGAGGCTGCACTAGCTTCTCAAGACA